TCTTAAAAACTGAGAACAAACTGAGGGTTGATGGGGGATGGGAGATGGGTACTGAGGAGGGCACCTGCTGGGATGAGCGCTGGGTGTTGTATAGAAACCAATTTGACAATAAATTTCATATTAAAAAAAAAGTCTCATTTGGTAAAACTGCCTTGTGGCTTGACATTTTCCCTCCCGTCCATATCTTCACTGTTTTAATAGTTATTTTGATGTGGCCATGATAATTTACTTAAAATTATTAGGGAGGCTGATGTAAAAAGGAATAAATCATCGATCACTGTCTGTTTTCTTTATGAAGAACACCACATTGGATGGTTGGAGGTATGAGCACACAGAGAAAATAGGAGGCCCTGCCCTATCCATTGAAAACTATCCTTTAGTTGGCAAATAATTTGTGAACAACCTTGGTGCAGAGTACCTGTGCAACAACAGAACTATATAAAGTGTGGACCCTAGGCTTTGAGGCCATCCCTCAAACTGTTACCAATCCACAATAAAATGGGTGCAGAAAGTATGATTAAGCATCTGGAAAATTTTATAGCAATTAGAAGTAGTCATTTTACACCTATTGAGTTTAATAATAAAAATTTTGGACTCTGCGCCTATTCTTTATAGTGTTTATTATGTTTTAATTTTATTATAACTTACAAAAGTATCAGCCAATTACAGACTAAAAAGTAAAACAAAAGGACTTGACTCTTTGCCACTAATAGTTGAGAGGTAAGCCGTGACCTAAAGCAAATATAGAAGACAATGTGATAGCTCAAGTACAAGTTAAGCTTGTACGTGTTGAGAACAAAATGCTAAGGAGATAATTTGAGGAAGCAGCAATCTGGTAAAATCTGTCATGAAATCCTTCCTGAAGAAGGAATACATACTATGCATCATGTTGGGTAATAGAATGAGATACATAAATCAAATGGAAAGCGCTAGAACTTTGCCCAGGGCTGGATAGCCATGATGGAAAGGCTTGGGAAGCAAGGTTGGTTGATAGGGTAGGGAAATGGCTCTATGGACATACTAGTTGTAAGATCTTGAAATCAAGATACTCATTTTGTGTATCATTGTACCAATATCGCCCTGTTTCTGTGCTGGGTCATTAACTGATCAGACTTCCTTTGTTTTTCAGATTTACACCCTGCCTGCCATTATTAGCAAGAAAGAAGAAAGTAAGTCACTTTAATAATTATTTAAAATTTTATCATAGTTTTTTTTTTCTTTTTTATCACAAAAGTATTATGTGATATTAAGAGTTAATTCTGGGAAAATAATAGAAACATATCATAAGTCTGATGGTGAAGCAAATTTAAAACTTTCATTCAGAGAAGTTTCTCAAGTCAAAGGCATTAAACTACTGGTGTTTGAGTAACCAAAATTAGTTTTTACTTATTTGGTGTTTATTTACTTATAGGTATGTACCTTGCTTTATCCCAGGAAGAGATTTGAAGCAATTGATATTTAGTTGATTTTTAAAATATTTTTAATGGCAGTAAGGGCTTCTTTATTTTAGTTTCTCTGTGCCATTGACAAGACTGAAGACATGAATACTTTGTACCCAAGAGTGTGATGTTATAAGACATTGTCCATAACACATGGGATATATAGGAAAACCTGTTTTCTCAATGTAGAATTGCTGAGTCCTTAGTAGCAAAACATTCTTATTAAACACATTTTATGTGTTTTTCCATAACATTCTCAATCCTCCTTAATCATCTGCTACCTTCTTTCCACCTTTTACCCTTGGTTATTTTAGAATATTTTCATATGTACCTTATGTAGTCAGATTATTTGACATTTAAAATTAGTCTGTATATTTATTTCTAAGGTTATGTATACATCTTCTAAAGCAATTTCAAGTTTTATTTAACTCAATTGACTTTCTCTCATGATGTCTAAATTTATTTTTAAAACAGGCTAATTTTTAAATTGCTAATAAAATGCAACTGAGAAAGGAGTAAAAATAAAAACTGGGAAAGCATTCATTTGAAAATCATAAATATTAAGTGTATGAAAAAACCTATTACTTTAAATGAATGAAATGCTTCCTAGTGATTAATTTCAGAAATTATCAAAAGAAAAAGCATGATTTAAAATACCCCTCGGATGCCTGAGTGGCTCAGTTGGTTAAGTGTCCGACTCTTGATTTTGGCTCAGGTCATGATCTCAGGGTCGTGAGATCGAGTCTCACGTCGAGCACCATGCTAAATGTGGAGCCTGCTTAAGATTCTCTCTCTCCCTCTGTCTCTACCTCTCTCTCTGTCTCTCTCAAAAAAAAGATACTCCTAATGTTAGAGACTTGGAAAATTATTTCCGGTTTTTACTCTTGCATTTCTTTATTGCAAATCAAGGAAAGTGATTAGTATAAAATCTTCATTGCCTGCTTACATCTAATCACAGAAATATTAACCAACAGATAAGTACCAAATGTTCATTCTAAATAGTTACCTAAAGAGCAATATGTTGTATAATTTGCATTTGAGTAGAGTTTGAAATGTGTTTTCTAATACTGGTTTCATTTTTCATATACTGGTTTCTTTCAAAAGAAAGATAGTTCTTTTAGATTCAAATGAACTACTCAAGGATGAATTTTTGGAAAAAACTGAACCTATATATGGTATTGAATAAAGCTCTAAATAGGGACGTGGTCAAGTCAGTGAGAATATATTTGAACAGTAATGCATTTCTGGAAACTAGGGTCTGTAAAATAATTAGAAAATTTGAATAAGGAGGTTGTCACATGTTCTTATGCTGTTATGAAACGGCATCATGCTTCTTCAGTGCCTTAAAGACTTTTCCAGAAATCTACTTTCTGGTAGCCTTAGCCACCTGAAACATCACTATGCCATCATTTATAATTATAAAATGTTTTTTGTTTTGTTTTGGTTTGGTTTTTTTCAGAAAAATAGCTATCCTACAGTCCATGTGTTTGTGTCATTTCTCACATTTTGCTTTTGGTATAGTGTTTTAGTATCCGACTTATTAGTTCTCTGAGCAACTTGTGACAGAACCTTGTAGCCTTCTTCATAGTACTTAACACAGGCCTTCCATGAGATGTGTGCTCAGCACACATTTGCTTTTACTGTTGCTCTGAGTACCAGTAGGCTTTTGTTGCCCAAGGGAAGATTTTGATGATAGAAAAGAATATTATAATTATGTTTGCTTCATTAGTATGTAGTGCTCAAAGTTATAAATCTTAACCCTAGTTTCAAGTTTTATTTTTATTATTTTATCTTAAGCTGTATTTTTTTCTTTCAGCCTATTTTTAATCAATGTACAGATCTTATTTTATGTATAAATATCCTAATTTTTAAAAATGTTTTCATTTTGTTTTTATAACTTTGATAGAATTCCCCCATTTATACATTTAATCAGTGAAGCTTTTTTAGACATACAAATTATAATTACAAAACTAGTAAATTTTATTCACCCAAATGCAGCACCCTAATGAAACAAGTTTGTGATTCTGGCTAATATAATCTTTCTAAACCTGTGGTATCTTCTGTAATCTAATAAATTGACTTATAAATGCTGAAATTAATATCCCTTTAACTGTTCTAAACATTCTAAATAAATCACACACAAAATTACGTAGTGATTTCAAGAGGTCTTACTATGTGGACATAAAGTCAACTTATCCAAAATCATCCTTGTTTCTGATTGTTTTTCCACATTCTTGGAGATTCAGATTTTCTCACCCAAAGAGAATCACTATTCTATTGAAAAGACAAGACAATGGCATGTACCATCAATAAAAAGAAACTCTGGCTAATGGAGGACAGGATTAAATGTACCTTTTAGAAATAAGCTCCCTGCAGCTGAGGGGTAGACATTTTGGTATTGATAACGTAGGTGAACAAGGTTTTCTAAACATTCCTCAACCCAACATGCAATGAAGTCCCTTTCCCTGAAATGACCTGCCTCTCAGACAAGTTGAGAGGCTTTCCTGGTCCTCAGAATTTAACATTTTTGCATGTAATTTTTAATGTTTTACTACATCAAAGTCTAAAATGTATTAATGGAACTTTGAATCTCTGGTCAGACGGTAATCTTACCTCTTATCTCTTTTATCATGTGTCTTATCAATATACCACTATTTTACTAGTGATTTAACAACTTACAGGATATACGTGAACGCTTAATGGTATTCTAGATTCAAGCATATGGTCCTTTTTAACCTGAAAGAAGTGTCATGTTTTCTTCCTAGCAACATGTCCAGAATTTTACCTGTTTCAGTTTAAAATTATATTCCAGTGATGGTGAAGTTCTCAGACCTCTTTTTTAAATCTTGAATTAATCAAGCAACCTCATCATATTGGGAGTTCAGAGCAGCTTTTATCTTTATGTTCACCTCTTCTACCATTTTTCTAGATATCATCCTGTTTTTTTGAGATCTCTGTGTTCCTTTTAGACATTTGACTACTTTCCAGAGTGGAATTATGTCAATTTCCATCAATAACTTCTCAGTTGTTATTTGAAACCAGTGCTAGTCTTGATTCATTTGCCAAATTGGGAAATGCATCTTTATAGCTTTGGTAATTCAGATGGATTCTGTTTATCATAAAATGCTCTAGCTATCCTTTGGAAACTCAGTTTTGTATGGGATGTGTTTGTGTTTTTGAACTGATAAGGCTAATAATGAACCTTAGGATAGTAAAATATAAAAACTCAGGTAAAAATGTGTTTTCAATGTCAACCATTAAAAGTGGTTGCGTTTGTGCTTTCACTAAAAAGCCTAATGGTAATAGAGCAAAAACTATCTAGCATCCTAAAATAGAGCCATACTGTGAATATACAGAGAAGATATACTATGAAATGAAGAGTAAAACTATTCTTTCACTGTTACGAGACTATTTTTTATAAACCTAACGTGAAAAAATCTCAGGACTTTGTGGTTTTTGAACTATAGATGCTGCAAATAAGACTAGCCTGTAATTCAGTAGAGAAGGAAAGTTTAACTCATCTTAACAACAACAAAAAAGCATCAAGTACAAAAACTGAAAAATTGGTCCACAAATGCTTTTCTGGTTGTAAAAAATGCTTGCTACAGTATTCTTTTCTTGAAATTCTAAGACTTTGGGAATGCATACACTTTGAGAATAGCAATGTCTATTATCATTATTAAACAGATATTATTAGGTAAGATTAGAACTAAACTCTCCCTCAAGCTATACCATTAGGTATGTTTTGTTAAAGAATAACACACCAATAGTTCTCCATATTTGAGCCCACTTTCAAAAAAACAATTTTTTTTTGTTTCACTAAGTTTTTATTTTAATTCCAGTAGAGTTAACATACAGTGTTATATTAGTTTCAAGAGTACACTATAGTGATTCAACAATTCTATACATTACTCAATGCTCATCATGGTAAGTCTTCCTTTAATCCTCCTTACCTATTTCACCTATCACCCCCTTCTGGTAACCACTAGTTTGTTCTCTGTAGTTAAGAGAATGGTTCTTGGTTTGTCTTTTGCTCTCCTATGTTTTGTTTGTTAAATTCCACGTATGAGTGAAATTGTATGGCATTTGTCTTTCTCTGACTGATTTATTTCACTAGACATACTTTCTAGCTGCATCTATGTCATTGCAGATGGCAAGATTTCATTCCTTTTGATGTATAAGTAATATTCCATTTTATGTATATATGCCACATCTTCTTTATTCATTCATGAATCAATGGACACTTGGGCTGCTTCCATAATATGGCTATTGAGAATAATGCTACAGTAAACATATGGGTGCATGTATCCCTTTGAATTAGTGTTTTTGTATTTGGGGGGTAAATACCCAGTAATATGATGACTGGATTGGAGGGTAGTTCAATTTTTTTAAGTTTTAATTCCAGTCTAGTCAACATACAGTGTTCTATTAGTTTCAAGTGTACAATATAGTGATTCAGTAAACCCATACATCATCCAGTGCTCATCACAGTCTACTTCTTAATCCCTATCACCTATTTCACTGATTCCCCACCTACCTCCCCTGTGATAACCATGTTTGTTCTCTGTGGTGAAGAGTCTGTTTCTTGGTTTCTCTCTCTTAAATTCCACATATGAGTGAAATCATATGGTATTTGTCTTTTTCTGACTGACTTATTTCACTTAGCGTTACACTCTCTAGCTGCATCCATGTTGTTGCAAATGGTAATATTTCATTCTTTTTTATGGTTT